GAGAGGAGAGAGGAGAGAGGAGAGAGGAGAGAATGAGAGGGAGAAAGAGAAAGAATCAAGAAAGGTAGCATTTTTTTAGAGTATATTTTTTTCATTGGTTTTTTAGAGAGAATGGAAGGGAGGGGAGAGACAGAGAGAGGGCAACATCTATGTGAGAGAGACACATTGATTGGTTGCCTCCCGCACAAGCCCCAACCAGGGCCAGGGATGGAGCCTGCAACTGAGGTACATGCCCTTGACCGGAATTGAACATAGGACTCTTCAGTCTGCAGGCCGATGCTCCATCCACTGAGCCAAACCGACCAGGGCAAGAAAGAAAGGTAACATTTAGACCAAGTCTTTGTCAAAGAGAAACATTTGGATGTAAGCAATGGGGCATAGATACAGCATGAACAAAGGTACAAAGGTGGTAAGTTTTGGTGAACATTCAAGGAAACAATGAGTAGTGGTTTGTGTATTGAGTAGACATGAAAGGAGGAGGAAAAACATCAGTTGTTAGCACACTTTGAATGACTTAGTTGAGTCTTTATTCATCAGGTAATAGCGACTGTTGACAATTTTTGAACAAAGAATATGATTGTTTCTGAAAGATTAATCTGGCAGCTCTGTATAAAAATGAATTAGAGGAGCGAAGAGAAAAGAGGCGAGGAGGTCAGTAGACTCCTGTTGCAATAGGCCAGGGAAAATGTAATCAGGGTTTGAAAAAGTAGGACTGGTAACATGGGAAAAAAGAGGAGACAGATGTGGGATACTCTGATTAAATTTTCTAGGTGCTATCAAATCTAACTGCTGAAGATTCGACAGCACTTAGCAATGATAAAAGAGCATCCCACAATAGACTATTTTGATTAGAACTTAAAGGTTTTGAAAAGCCCTGACCAGTTGTACATAAAAGACAACATGCTGCTCGGAAGGCATCCATCTATAGGTCATTGAAATCAGCTCTCTGGTAATATTCTCAAAACTGCCAAAGAAAATCAGTGATGTGAAAACAACTAAATTTTTGCATTTAAATAAAAGTTCACAAGTGCTAGGAATTGGATGGATGTTCTCCAACGTTGTAAAAAGAAAAAAAGGGGTGGGGTTAAAAAAAACAACAAAAATCTCTTAGAAAAAGGGGCTAGAAACATAGAAATAATAATTTTGTTCTATTGGAGTGTGAACAGCTTTGGGAGTTGGCACTGTGCACAGGACACCATCATAGCATCACAGTATTTTTTGTTTGTTTACACAAAGCTTTCCTGTCGTCCTCTCATTTGATCTTCTCCATGATTCTGGCCGAATAGGTAATATGTGTATAATCATTAGTAGCTCCATTTTTATGATGGCTCAGCTCACATGATCAAATAAAATGAATGGGTGTGAAAGTCGGTTGTAAACTGTAAAGGGCCCTAACAAAGTTTGTTTATGAAATGTATGTATTCTTCCTCTTTCTAAAAAAGAATGTGTGGCATTTTTAGTGTTAATAGGTATTATTCTTTATAACAGCTTTATAATAGTTGACATACACTGAACTTAGTATATTTCAAAAATATAATTTGATATCATTGACACATACATATAGCTGTGGAACCATCACTAGAATCAAAATAATGAATATGTCCACCTCATCCAAAAGCTTTTTAAATTTTTTTCTCAAAAGCTTTCTTTATTCCTCTTTTGTAATCCTGTCCTCCTACGACTTTTGATTTTCCTCCCTAGGCAACCACTGATCCTTTTTATATCTAATTAGCGTGCATTTTCTAGAGTTTCATATAAATGTAATTATGTATTATATATGCTCTTCCTTTCTTTGTATAGATCCATATTTCCATGTGATATCATTTTTCTGGTGCTTGAATTTTCTTTAACTTTTTAAATCTTTTTTTAT